CTGGAGCAGCACGGCGGTGGCCGAGCTTCCTTCTGGACACTCCGTCCAGTGTCTGGTGGGGGAGCTGGTGCAGTCGGCCAGGCAGGACCTTCATTCTCATATCTGTAGAAATACAGTAGGGGGACAAGGAATTTAATTTCCAGCAGTTGGTTGTACATTTTGCATATTTAGCATTTCTGACAACACCCCGTTAAATAGTTATAGATTTAATTATATCTGCTCAACAATTTCCAAACACCTTTGGGAAGTCTTTTTTCTAGAAAAAATGTGCTGTATCTCATGCTCGATGTGTAACTAATACTTACATCCAATAAAAGTTTTGTATTACTGCTTCTCAGGAAAACACTTTAATGATGTTATTACATCAGTGAAGACTTTTATTTGTAAGTAGTGTTAGAACCAGGCCTAACCACTGGGCAGTCTACACCTGCACTAAGAAATGTGAACTCTAAAAGCCAGTCTTACCTAATATTTTAGCTTTTATACCAAATTTAAAATATCTTTGACTTTATAAAAATAGGAAGATAAACATGTAGAGATAACATAAGTATAAAAATATTTATCTATATGAGTGTGTGCAAGGGTGATTGTGTCATAGAAAAAAAAGGTGCATCACACTTGAGTTGTACAATTGACCTTGAAACTCCTTTTCTATTGCTAAATAGCAATGTGATTGCCATCATGTCATCTGGCCTAGCACGGCTTTAGCTATAGAATTTTGTGTCATTCTTAGGTACTACTTAATTTGTAAAATTGTATTTCATTCTAGGAATCCTGTTTTAGCTATTTTCATTACTTAACATTCACTCATGTCATATTTTCTTATTAAAACAGATTTAAAAATCAGTTAGGAATATGTAACATTCACAAACTAATGCGTTTTTATCCCACTCTCTCAGTTCTTTAAAAGATGTTTAAGCACTTAAAAAGGTGATCATGTCAGATGTAAATTAACTAAAATCTCATGTTACTGGATCAAAATGATAATGAATTGGGAGTACACAGAATTTTACCAACACACTAGTAAGTCCAGAATAGTTATGTTCTTAAATGCATAAAACATGGTCCCCCCAAACTGTATAACATAGGAACTAAAATGTTACTCTTAGAATCAAATAAATGTGGTTAAATTTCCTGTTGGTCTTTTATTTGTTTCATGTATAAATTATACTTAATCTCACTGTACCTCAGTTTCCTTATGTATTAGAGACTAATAATGCTAATATCTATTTCATGAGCTGTTTGAAGATTAAATAGATGAAGCATTCAGAACACTGCCTACACCTGCAATACTGTAAAGATATCATGACATTTATTATCATTATTTAAATTGTAAATGACTAATACTCATATCTGACAAGAACGGATTTCAGTGCTTAATTCTCATTCATTTAATCCTCAAGAATCTAGTGTTAATATTGTCCTTACTTTCCAGATAGATACTAAACAGTACAGTTAGGTGTGGGGTTCCTGCCAGTGCTCCCAGCTACTTGGGAGACTGAGACAGGAGGATCTCTCTGACCCATATGTTCAAGGCCAGCCTGGACAATATAGCAATGTCCCATCTTTAAAAATTCTAATAAGTGTACAAAGGTTTATTTGACTTGCTGTTAAGCTTTCATGACTGGGTATAGGATTCAAACTTGGTCTGGCTCAATATATATATATATATATATATATATATATATGCATATATATGTATAACCACCCTCTGAAGTAAGTGTTATTATCACATATCCCCTTTAAAATGAAGACACTTAAGACACAGATAGATTAGGTAACTTCTCAAGACCACAAATGAAGCAGTAGTGGATCTTCCATTCTTTATCTAACTCGTAATGTTTGGCTCCAGAGCTTGTGCAAAGTTAAAGACAGCAACAAGGAATTAAGAAAAACAGTTGGTTGGGTACAAGCACAGGAGTATGTTATGCATACATGGGTTATCTTTCTTTCATAAGCCTATGTTGAATGAAAAAGGCTGAGACCCATCCTAAATCCTTGGAAGACAGGTGGTAAGACCTGTCCTCTACATTTCAGCATCCCACTTTGTCATGCATCTCGCCACCAAATTATCTATTACTCTTCTACACATGATGCACATGCTAATTTATAAGCCTGTGTATTATTCTCCTCTCAGTTTATCGGGAGCACTTTTGATTGTTTGGAGTCGGTAATCACGTCTGCATCATACTCTGTGAAACAGGGTAAGAAGCACCAGGCTTCTACTTCTATTGAATCTAACAGTGGATAGACAATCATGTGACGATCCAAAAAGATAAATATATGCAAATGCTTTTTATGTGGAGCACAAAAATGAGACTAAGTGATCATGGGATTTGTAATAGTCCTGCAATGGGCAGACTAATATTCAGAGAAGCGTGTGTTCCTCCTATCTCCTACCTCCTCTCTTCAGTCCTTGTCTACCACTCCTCTGACACAGCCATCTAACTATGGCATGGTTCTCTTGTTTAGAGCTGTGGGAACTGTCTGGTTACTAGTTCTCCTGTGGGATCTGAGATTCCTTCAAGAAGTGTTTCTTGACCGCTCAGGTACATTGATTGATGTATGCCTCAGCACTTGCTCACAGGAGTTTCTCACTTGACCTGTGTAGCTGCCTGTATTACTGGGGACTGTCACCTTTCGTTGTGACAGTCCCATGTTCCTCTTAGAATCAGAGTGCCTTCAAGGAAAGAATTATTTTGCACCATCAATGTCATGCCCTTGTTCTGCCCAGTCGTATGCCAAGCCAAGTATTTGCTGTCATCTCCATAATAACTGCTCTCGCCAGGAGGAAAAGCCATAGTTTATCAGGATCAGCAAATAACCAAATAACAAGGATAATGGATTATCAGGTAGAAGTAAACTTTCAAAAGAAAAAGAGTCTTTAAATTTTAAGCCCTTGGTAAAATAAACAGCACTTCTTTTAAGAGGGATAAAACCCTACCAGTCACTTATTTTCAATCTATTGAAGATACTGTCATCCTGTTGTCAAGAGACCTTCATTGGAAATCTCTTCCACCTTGTTCTTCACGTCTGCGTCTATTCATAAAAGACTAAGGCTAGCCTAGTTTTCTTTTGCAACCCCCAAAACATTTAAAAATCTCCCATGAATTATTTACATGGCAGCGCCAATCAGCAACATACCTGACAGACTCCCCAGCTGAAATGCAAGTTCGCTGTGTAAAGGTGCCCAGGGAGGGCCGTGACCGCCCACTGTGAGGTTATAGACAGAACTAAGTCAGCACACATTACATGTCAGTGCCGACATCAGAAGGAATCAGCGCCTTTGATCTCAGACCTCCACAGGAAGCTTAGATCTCAGACAAATTAGATAAAAAATGAATTTATAGCAGATATGTGTCCTAAGGCATTCAGCTGAATGTTTGGGTTTCAGGAAAGAAAGGATAGTGAGCATCACAACATGTGAATTAATATGTCTCCTTCCCGTCTCTGCCTTGCTGAGTCCCCACTAAAAAGGAAAGAGGGAATTTCAAACTGCTCAGCCCATGTGTCTTAGCATCCCACTGAAGGGTTCAGCCATGTTTTAGGGGGAATGGGATAAAACATGCGGAACTCTGTCCTTCTCTACCAGAAAGGATGACTCATCCATGTGGGGACCTTCCCGATGTGCCATACTCACAGAAATTCTTCCAGGTTTCCTAAACTCCTATCGACTTCCAAACTTTCTAGAGCAATAAGCAGACACTGTGCCCCTGATTTCTGATATGTGTGTGAGTTAACTCCTGGTTTCTTTTACAACTGGAACATCAGCAATGAATAATCCCTCTTTCCTTGCCTTGCCCCAAATTGCTCATGTTATTCTCAACTCAGTTTCATGTGTAGTGTTGTGTTTGATAACTTGCCTTCAGCACAGCAGGCTCAATGTAGCTGCCGCCCTTGAGCTTCCACAGGCTCTAAGGCAGTGGTGAGTAGTGATCATTCCACAGAGAGGATGTATGATCTACAATTTACCAATATGGACAGTAGGTCTTGCTTTGCTTATCAGAGAATATAAATGCTATTGTGAATAAATACTATTGCCTATCTTCTATGTAAATTACTTGTTATTTGAAGTGGAAGATTGTCATTTAATATAACTGGGTAACTTTCACTAGTTACCCTATAGTCTTGTGCCATTATCACTTGGTCTTTTTCTTTTTTTTTGGTACTAGAAATCAAACTCAGGACCTTGAGCTTGCCCGGCAGGCCCTTTACATTGCTTTAAGAATGTTAACATAAATATAATCTCTACTAGAGTCACTGACATAAAATCAACTTATTTTCAAATATTAGTCATATACCATTGGTGTTTACATTCTGATGAACTTTAGTGTTATTTTCCACTGTCATTTTCCACTGTGCAAAGTGGTTGAAATTATGTTAAAGCCAAGTTAATTTAGTAATATCTAAGGTCTCTGCAATTTTAGTCAGTGCAATTACAAACATGATTCCTTATATATATTAAAGTCTTCTTTTTAAACTATTCATTATGATATCACTTATTTTTATATTTTCTAGTATACCTCTCATTAATATTTCTTTTCCAAGATACTTTCCACATACTTTGGCCACTATTATGTATGTATCATAGTCCCTTGTTGCTGTTGTTGTTGTTTTTGTTTGGGTTTTTGTAGTTCAGTATGGCCTTGCACACATTACATAGTCCAGGCTAGCCTTGAACTTGCACCAGTCCTCCTGCTTCAGCCTCCTGAATGCTGGGATTACATGAAAGTGCCACCATGCCTGGTGATTTCATATTTTCCAAGTACATCCAACTTTCTGTCACTAAAGTGAAATTCTCTAGACAAACTAAGTATAAAGACAAGAGGTTTATTTAAAATTTATAATATTATTGTTTTATAGATTGATATGAACGAGCAAATTACTCAAGTTCATTATAAAGTATAATAGTTATTGGTTTAAATTTTTCAATTTTCCTTCAAATAATTATGTCATCTATAACTCATCTCCTTCATGCCCACTTGCATTCCTTACTGTTCAAACTGTGTTATAAGATGCCAAGAATGAATTATGCATGTTGTTTTCATTTCAGTAACAATGCCTCTATAATACTCCATTGCTAAATAAACTATAGTGTTGAAACTCTATCTCATTGACCTATCTTTTAAAATTTTTTTCTTAAAGTATAAATACTCAGATTTTATTCGTGCTTTTAAATTAGGAGACAGTCACATATTTTTCCTTATGTAACGTAAATGTGCTATGTATTAACGATATCCAAATACAATCAATAGACTCTTCTGGGAGCTTGGGAAAATTTCTCAGCTATTTTGTTCTTCCCAGTTTTGTTCCTCTAAACATCCTGAGTCCATTCAGCCCTTCTGCTCTCTCTGACATTCTCACAGATATATACTTCTGAAAGGTAAATTTGCTGGCAAATCTTCTTATTTCGTATTCACAAAACCTACCACATGTCCTCAACAGTTCTCTGCAATGCAGAGATACATAGTGTACAGAAGAGAATTCCCTCAAGTTGATGTTTATAGTCACATGAGGCAGCCCTTTATACACAGCAGTCTTCCACTCCCAACATTGGGTGCAGGGATTCAACAAAGAATAGTGGCAAGTGGCCGAAGACGAATGCATGATTTGGGGAACGCAGTTCTGAGATCTGAGCAGCAGCGGTGTCTGACAAGGAGACTGAAAGAGAAGGCTGCCGTGGCCATCTGAACGCCTGGCCTGGAAACAGGAAGTCACCTTTCCCTCTTGTTATAACCTAAAGATAAGCAGTCATTACCCAGGTGTTAATTATATAAACTGGATGCATTTTCATATTGCTTTCCAAAAACATGAGAGCTATGGTTTTTTCCAATTGTAAAAACTGCTAGATGCCAGGGATCTTCACAAAGGAATATCTGGAGAAGGGAGAATCATTTCATGTGTCTTCATCATGCACCCCGTAGGTATCAGTGGTATATCACAGGTCCCTATAGTAAAATGGATATCAGGATTATAAAAGATACAGAATTTATATCAAAGATAAGATAAGCATGAAGAATTATGCCACATATGAAGCATGGTAAGTGAACACGAGATGAATGTTCTAAAAGTTCAAAGATGGGAACTGTTCCTTCTAGATCATTTGAAGAAGACTGAACATTTCATCTAAGTTTGGGAGGAATAGGACCCTGAATAAGTGGGTACACAGAGAAGGACACTGGGAACTGTCGAGGCCTGTGTCATACAAAGGGAACACGTGCCTGGAGAGAGGAGAATTAGGAAGAGGAGGGCTGAACACACGGGGTGAACTGAACTGAAGGTGAACCTGTGAAATGAAGCGAAGATGCGGAGAAAAGAAAGCTTAGGACCCCAAGGAGGAGAACTGAGAAAACTTAGAAAACAAAAAAAGGGCAGATCCAGAAAAGAAAAGCTTGGGCTGGCGACTTAGCTCAGCGGCAAAGCGCCTGCCTGGCAAGCGCAAGGTCATGAGTTCGGTTCCCGGTACCGGAAAAAAACAAAAACAAAAACAAAAAAAAAGAAAAGAAAAGAAAAGAAAAGCTTGAAATTAAACTCTGAGGTTTTTAAGGTGGAAGATTTGGGTACTATTAACCTATTTAAGGACACAAAGGAACAGTTCAGAAAAAGTGATGCAAAATTACCCTTTGACAGAGCAAGGCAGGGCCCCTTCCCAGGCCACTGGTGTCTCTATGAACCTGAGTTTCTGTAAAATAGTCAGCAAGCCCTTAGCAAGTAGGATTGGAAGCACTGTAATATGACTTAGGATCTACAGTGACTAGACCTGGACCTCAGGATAATATACTTTCTTTCCTTCAGCCTCTCCTCCCATGTTCAAATTATTCAAATGCATATTGTTTGTTCTGATTGCTTTACGCTGAATTGTTTATTGAGTGAAAATGTTATCTAACCATCTCCAAAATATACTCCTGTACCCCAACCATGTTAGAAATTTATACAGAGAACCAATACCATCCCTTTGCAGCTATTCAGAGAGTATCTTGCATTAAACTGAATAAATACTGAGTATTCATGGGGAGGTAAAATCTAATAACACTAATAAGCAATTCCAGTACACTCTCACTCAAATGTTACAAAGGTGAGAACTATCTTCTTCCAAGGCTTCTCATGCTACTGACATTTTCAGCCAGATCATTTTTGCTGTGGGGTTGGCATTATGTGCTATAATGATGTTTCCTACATCCCTGATCCCTCGTCATTATTAATAGTTCTCCAACTCTCCCAAGCTGTGGCAAGAAAGATGTCTCCAGACATTACAAATGTTCTCTGAAGTTAGCATAACCAAATGTCTTAATATTTCTGAGAGAATGTCCAGGAAACAAAAGATTTCCATTTTAAAACAGTTCTTGGGCAGATCAGGGTGAGTTAGGTGGGGGTAGAGTAGCTCTGGTTGGTAGCCACTGGTTTGCGGGAACAGAGTCATCTAAACCAAGACAGTAAGTATTTCTATGGAAACACATATTCAGTAGATTATTTTTCTACTCCAAAGAGGATAATATTTATTCTGACAAAGTCTGGAAGATTGCAGAAGACTTTATGAAGAAAAATGCAGGCCCACACTTGCTTCAGGAGTGGGGCTTATTTAAGAGATGAAAGCACACACTAGAACTGGAAGAAACTATAAGTGAATGATGAGGATGAAATTACACAACCATGCAGATGAATGCATTAGTGGGTTGAGAGGAGCATGGGACATAAGTTTAAAACCCAAATGAGGTTATCATGATAGATTTTTGGGTTTTTTTGAGACAGGGTCTCGCTATGCAGTTCAGGCTGGCCTTGAGCTCCCTTTGTAGTCCAGGCTGGTCTCAAACTCGAAATGATCCTCCTGCCTCAGCCTCCTGAATTCTGGGATTATAGGTGTGTGCCACCATGCCCAGCTACAATGACAGGACAGAATCAATCAAATCTTAGAAAACTTATAGTGCTACATAACTATGAGAAAAAACACTAATAAATAATACATAAAATATACTAGGAGTTGATCTTTAATTCCAAAGAGTATTATTATGCCAATTTTAACAAAGAGGAAATGAAAGGACACAGAGAGATTAGTTGCCTTGCTTGAGGACATCAAGTCAGCCAACAGGGAAGTTGTAGGCTTAGTCTCTGGCTCCTCGGTTCCATGCACAGACTGTTACATTCTCCTGCCTGATCAGCCGACAGCAGGAACTCACTCGGTCTTACGAGTAGCAGAACAAACTGAGCAGGTATGGATTTTGAATGGTGGCTGAGATGGCTCTGCATATCAGAAACCTTGGCAGCAGTGCAATAAATATGAAGAATATATATACTTTACTCCTTCCTCCATTGAAACTCTCTGACATCTCCAGTGCATCCATGAGAAATTTGGTAACAACAATAACAAGCAAGGGTACAATCCACATGTCACAGCGATGCTCAGTTCCATGAACTAAACAATCTTCAGTGATATGATAGTCCTTAGTTCAGACAAGGTGCAGATGAGCAAGGTAGTCACTCACTTAGCAAATGCCAATGTTCAAAAGCACGGAGAGAAAAGGAAAACTAAGACACCATGGATATAATGAAGTAAAACTGAATTTATTTAGAGCTAGCAATAGTTAGGTGTTTGCAACTGATAATAATTTCCAAAGAAAAATAAGAGATGCCTCATTACTTGCCTCTAAAAGATGCTCTTAAGATTTGGACAAAACTTAGGAAATAAGGAGATAAATCAACTATGATCCCTGAGGGAGGATTTGAGTAACAAATCTTTCTCTTTTCTGCCAGGACATCCTAATAAAAGGGTCTCTTTGATGCTCCTGTCTCTTCAATCTAAACTTTTCCACAGAAGCTGTGTCCCTTGTCCCATTTCTGATAATTTATTAATAAGCTACCACATAAAAAATGTTCCTTAATAAAACACCCAGGCATTGTGGACTGCCTAATGAAGTTAATTGAAGCAAGTCAACTGAGAATTATGTAGATGACCATATTAGATTAGCAGAGATTAGCATCGCTTCTAGTGTTTGCTGCAGGATGAAGCTGAATAAATAAGGAGCTAGATCGGAAGGCAGCTTTGAACACCTCTCCTGGGCTGGCATCTCATAACATGGACAAAGTTACAAAGGTTTTCGGTGGAATCTGGAAAGAGTTCCTGTACTCTTCTCTCCATCCCTGTTTTTCATCACTTCTACCCCTACTTTGTCCTATACCCACTATTACTTCTTCCTGTAAGTCCAGGGGTTGGCTGATGTGGAATATTTTTATTTTAAATCTTGCTTCCTCCATGGGAGAAGACACGAGCAATGAAACAAACTGAACACACAGGCACAGACACAAGCCAGAGCCCACTCACATCTTCTGTAATGCAGAACGCAGGCACATGGTACATTTTTCTAAAAGTACAATCAGCCAGGCAGGGCAGCACATGCCTGCCATCCCAGCACTCAGGAGGATGAAGCAGGAGAATCACTCTGAGTTCAAAGCTAGCCTGGGCTACATAGTGAGTTCAAGGCCAGTCTGGACTATATAATGAGATCCTGTCTCAAAAATAAATCAATGAATAACCAAACAACAAAACAAAGTTTAGTAGAGCTGACTCATTTCTCAAGTTTTTAGTACTCCATCTAATTTGTATGGAGGATATTTGACAAATTACACTCCCTGCTTTTTAATATTCAATTAAGTTTCCAAACTGGTAGCTTTGGAACAGAAAAGAGGAAGATTGTGTGACAATATCTGATTTTCCCTTTTCATGGTGTAACTAATTCAAATGCTAAACCAATAATCTACTACTAAAAAAATACATAAAGATCATTTTAAAAACTGGTTACTACCTGAGCAAATCAGCTGGATCTGTGTATGCCTGTGGTAAGGTATAATTTTTTTGAGAAAAAGTACAAACAAAACAACTAGCGAAAGAGCTTTAAAATGCTTCAGAAGATGAACTCCAGGAGAAAACACCTAATGCCTCCCTCCTGAGGGAATCCTCTCTCTCAACCACACTTACCTTCTGCCTTCCTGGAATCTTCCTTTTCCATTTGTATTTGTGATGCTCGCCATTTGGATGGAGCATGGGTCTGATTCTTTTGATCATTAGTCTGGGACTCAGAAGATTCCTCAGGTTTTGTTTCTATATTAATGCAAAAAAAATTAGATGTTTTTGTTTCTTTAGATAAAAAGAACATTTTTATTTTAAATGGGCCTTAATTGTTAAGGTGTTTCTCTTATATACGCACCTCAGTATGATAATGATACATATGCAAAATAGTACAAATAATATATTCAGAGTTTAAGAAATTATCTGAGTTACTTTTCTCATTGCTGGAACAAAATACCTGACACCGAAAGTTAAAGGAGAAAAGACTTACTTAACATACAGATTTTAGAGGTTTTAATCCATAAGCAGAGGGCTCCAAAGCAGGCTGGTATGGCCAAGAGGCATCAGAGAGGAGAAAGACTTCATGGTGGGCAGAAGGTAGTAAAATAAGTCAGTAGGATGAGAGACAAATTACCTGGCTTTTTTGTGCCTGTGTAACCTTGAGCAATTATTTACCAATTCTGTGTCTTTCTCTATGTCCATATTGATTACATACTTTGCTGAGTTATTGTGATGATTGAGATTGTTTCCTAGTGATCATGGATGTGGCTTTTCGTATTATTTAAGATCAGGCAATTGTTGTGTCTGTTACATAAACTGAATGTAATGGTTGATACATTGTGTCAACTTGAGAAGTTTAGAAGTTTAAGTAACTCTGCAGGGAGCCAGGGTCCTCACTTTGTAAGCACCCTCATCCTGTGCAAGAGAAGGGCATGGAGATTGTGTGAGGGCTACACCTGCCCTAGGGGTTGCTGGCCTGCTTGCAATATAAGAGAGAGAAAGAGGCTTGTTCTCCCACCCCCCATTTTGCTCCTGTTGCTTTATACCCTCTGCCACTTTGAAGTGTTGCCCCTTTGCCATGCCACCCTGCCTTGGAGCCAGCTGAGTATAGACTGAAACCTCCACAAACTGTGAGCTAAATAAAGCTTTTCTTCCTTAATTTTGAGAGTCAGGTATTTTGTCTCAGCGATGAGAGAAAAGTAACTAAGACAGAATTTGTTCCCAGAGAAGTGGGATCATAGCTGTGACTATATCTGACTGTGTGGTTCAAAAGCCTTTTGGAATGGCTTGTAGGAAGACTTTGGAAAGGTTCAGCGATGTCGCCTGAAAGAGTAGAGCTGGATCACCTGTTCTGTATGGGAGATTCTGGTCCAAGCTCAGAAAACCAAAAGGTTGATAGAAATCCTGCTGGTATAGACCAGGTTCAGGAGGTTTCTTCTGGGAAGGAAGACTGCATTGAGTGCTGGACTCCAGAGAACTTATGTTATGGCTTGGTAGAACATTTGTCTGCACTTTGCTTATGTCCAGAGACTTTGCCTGAGACTGAGATTTTAAGGGCAGTGAACTAATTAGTCTGGCAGAATAAATTTCAAGGCAGTTTAACATTGAGGTGGTGGCATGGCTACTAATGGGAGATTTTAGCCAGATCAATGTTGAGAATTAAGAGCAAAGAACCCAGCAGAATGATTTAAAACATTGTGAGTTTGGCTAGAAAGGAAGCTCCAGTAAAGCTGTGGACTTTAAAGGTACAACTGAGGAGATCTTGATTGCTGAGAAGGTACAGGAAAATACAAAAGATGGCCTGAGGGCATCACTAGAAGCATCAAGTCTCCACCCTTTACAGCCTCCAAACTGCAGAAGTGAAGGACTTCGCTTTGAGAAGCAAGCCACAGAACATCATGTTCTAGAATGGCTCCTGCAGCTGCACCATTCTCCAGAATGACGGCAGCACTGAAAATTTCTTCCTCTGAACTGGATTCAGAGTGCCCAGTGATTCTGGGACTTGAATCCAGCTGGTTGCAGACCTTGGCATCATCAATGTGGCACATCTGGTTTTAAGTGTATGCAGAATGCAAGAATTACAGGATTAAAAGGCTTACATCCAGATTTCAGAAGGCCTGGGAGGCCAGGCAGTGTGCTCTGGGAGGGCAATGTGTGAAACTGTGAAGGTAAAGCCAAAAGTGCAGTGGAGATCACAGAAGTTTGCAACATAGATCATCTGAGGAAAGCTGTGTAGAGGGAGCAAACTGGGCCTAAGAGAGAATCTATGGGAGCTGTAAGCACCAGAAGTGCTCCACCATGAGGTGGAGTCACTCAAGCCATTTGGAGTATACAATATGCCACAGACTTCCTCAGATGCTGGACATAAAACTACAGGACTTAATGTTTGCCCTGTTGGATTTTGGACTTGTTTTGGTCTCGATCTTTTGAATCCCCCTGTTTGTAACTTTTAGAATGAAACTGTTTCTATTGTGACATTAAATGTTGGAAGTGTTTAACTTTTCATTTGAATAGGGGCTTGCAGCTAAGAGTTCGCCTTACATCTCAAAGGAGACGTGGGCCTTGGACTTTTCAGTAATGCTGAAATTCTTATGACTTTGACAGTTCTTGTAGAGGGACTAAATGGCTTTTGCATAAAGGGATATGCATGAGTCTTTGGGGTGCCAGGGGAAGAATGTTTTTGTTCTAATGTAATACAATGTTGAAACACTTAGTAGTGGTCCTTAATGTTATTAAACCTGTATTACAATGTTCCATTGTGAAATGATAAGAATAATGCCTTTGTATCCGGTTTAAAGAAACATGTCTGGTTGCCAAGTTGACAAGGAGTGGAGTGTAATTGTTGATACCTTCTGTCAATTTGAAAAGTTTAGAAGTTTAAGCAACTGTGCAGGGAGCCAGGGTCCCCACTTTGTAAACAACCTCATCCTGTGCAAGAGAAGGGTGTGGAGATTGTGTGTGTGCTACACCTGCCCTTAGGGCTGGTAGACTGCTTACAGTATAGGGAGGAAAAGAGGCTTGTTCTCCTCCCATCCCATTTTGCTCCTGTTGCTTTTGCTGTCTTCTGCCACCTTGAAGTGTTGCCCCTGTGCCATGCCACCCTGCCTTGGAGCCAGCTGATTATGGACTGAAACCTCCATAAGCTGTAAGCTAAACAAAGCTTCCCTTTCTTAATTTTGGGTATTAGGTATTGTGTCTCAGCAACGAGAGATAAGTAACTAACACACTGAACTACTTGGCTCCATGTAGTATTTCTGTTACTATTTTGTTTTGTTGATTGTGGTTATCTGCATCAAACCCACAGTGCTCTCCCACTGAGCTGCATCCCACCTTTTAAATTTATTTAGTTATCTACTATTGTTTTTAGACAGAGATTCATGACATTTTGTGGGTTGGTCTTGAACTTGTGAGCCTCCTGCCTCCTGAGTAGTTTGGCTTACAGGCATGTACTACCACCCCCAGTGCCATGTAATTTTATGTATTTCAAAAGCTCATAAAATTTCTCTCCAGAAGAATAAGAAGAATCATTAATACACTGTGCATGATTTTCTGCAACCCACCCCCCTCACGTACTTTTATGTTTGCTTCTCTTAAACCAACAGCACACCAGGCAGCTCAGTGCTAGCCAGGAGACCACTGAGCACAGGGAAGCAGCCAGGATGATGGTTGATCTCTCCTTTCCAGTTTCAGGCAACACAGCAAAAGACCTGGATCGAGCTGTGAAATTGGCTCCTGTTTTTTGAGAAAGGTCCAATAATATATTAAGATGTTAACAATAAAAATATCATAGAAAAGCACACAAACTAGGTACTCAAATATTTATTGAATTGTGATTAAATAAATGATACAGTAATAGATCCAAGATTTATATTCCTGAAGAATTATAAGATTTCAACAACTCATAATCATTCTTAATAATTTTGTCCATTACTAGTGGAGAATTCTTCCAATTCCCTCATTTTATTCACAGACCTGTCTTCTCCCCCAGTGAAAAGTTGTAGTTATATTCACTCCTGTACTCTCCTTATTAGAAAAAAATGCTCACAATATATGGAACTACATGCTGTGACATATGTGTTAGCTTAAAATATAGCACATCACACATCAAAATAGGGAAACAGGGACCCCTCTTAGAATGGCAAGAAACTTCTAAAGTTCAAAAGAACAATGAAAAATAGAATAGAATAGTGGCACATAGATCCTCTTTCATTATAGAGGAAAGGGCAAGATGAGGAACTTCCTACTGAGAGAGTGACAGAGAGAGAGAAGGGGTGGGAAGATAGGGAAGGGGAGACAAGGAAAGGGGAGACAAAGGAAGGGAAGGGAAAGGAAGTGAAGGAGAGAGAATGAAGTGAAGGAGAGGAAGTGAAGGGAAGGGAAAGGAAGGGAAGGGAAGGGGACAGAAGGGGAGGGAAGGGGAGGGGAAGAGATGGAAGGGGAAGGGGAGGAAGTGAGGGGAGGGGAAGGGAAGGGGAGGGAAAAGAAGGAGGAATGAAACAAATAAAGGAAACATAACATGTAACAACCAAAATGAATGTCAAATGCATTAAGCTGGGCAAAAGAAACCCCATCCTATCTCTAAAATGTAGACACTATATGATTCCATTTGTATGATATTTTAGAAAATGCCATACTACAAAGAGGATGATAGGACTGCTGATTTACAGGGAGTACAAAGAAGAAAAAGATGAGAGGATAGAGGAATAGCATGAGGGAAATTTTATGGGTGAGTGAAATAATTTACATACCCTGATTATGGTGGTGGTTACACGAATTTGCATATGTATTTGAATTTATAATACTACATGCCAAAATGATCAGTATTACCAAATACTAATTAAAAAATAAAAACATTTAAAACTTACTTATAATCTTAGGGCAATAAGTATATTTACTATCTTAATTGTGAAAATGTCTTCCTGGGAGTAGACATCCCCCAAAACTTATCAAACAGTATGGATTAAATATGCATATTTCATTATAGTCAACTGTGTCTCAATAGAAAGAGTTTTTTTTTTTTTTCAATAGAAAGAGTTTAAAAAAGCTTTACTTATATACATGGTTTACTTATAGCCAGCGTTTTAAAGTAGTTCATTCAAAATAAAAAATTTAAAATCTCTAATTTCATTTGAAGAACTCAGATAGAATCAGCATTTATTTTCTCTACTCAAAGAAACATAATAAGTACTTCACTATAAATAGTCTGGTATTTAAAACTGATGTCCTTAGAAACAAGGAGTTGCTTTTAGAAGCTGTACCATTAATCAACCTGATGTCTACAAAGGTTTACAAATGTGCAAACTGTAGAATGTCTTTCTTTTTTTCCTCTCTCTTGAAAAAATCTGTAGTATTGAAAAATCTTACAAATCCTCACATTATAGTTTAGCCTTGAACATTATAACGGATGGTTTAAGGAAAACTTTCAAGAAAATACCTCAGTTAATTATTATGATTTGGTTCAAAAATCCCCCCATGGGCTTTTTGAAGGTCATTGGATCAAGAGATGAATTAATTTATGAGTTCAAAGTGCAGTTGGGAGGCGGGGCCTGCTTGTAGGAGGTGGGTTACTGGGATGTGACCAAGAAGGGTGTGTTCTTGTTCCCAGATCTGCACCTCTTTCTCTCCTCCTGGCTGCCAGGTGTTGAGTAGCTTCACTCTACATGTCCTCTCACTCTGTTGCAGCCTTGGAGACAGCAACTGTGTACTGAACCCTCTGAAACTCTGAGCCAAAACCTCTCCTCCTGGACACTGCTGGTGTCAGGTATCTTGTTAAAGGGATTAACAGCTCACTAGTAAATTAATTTACTTTAAATGTTATGCAGGAAAATAAACATGTGATCTACCAGATATGAATACCAAGACCATGTCATGACCACACAAGGTACAGTTTTTGTCTGCAAGATGTCTTGCATGTGGTTTCATAGTCTACTCTTTAAAAAACCTTGATCACTTTCAATTCCTTGATAGGTAAGGATATTGAGAAGTATTTCACATATTTATTGGTCATTTGTATTTCTTCCTTTGAAACATGTCTGCTCAGGTCTTTTTCCCATAAAAGTAGTAGTGCAGTGGGACTATTTGTAAAAGGGAAAGGAATACAATCAATCATATAGGTATAGATATAGATATGGAGATATATATATAGATCTAGATATGCAAAGTCATTAATTTATACAATTAATATACATTTATAATAAATAATCTTTGAAATATTTGACTACTCTTATCTAACCTGTGAGGAAATTGAATTTGTGACCCTTTGAAACATATCTACATATATTTTTTATTTTAAAAATAAAAGGAGGAAAACGTTAACAGACAGACAACCTTTACAAAATAGCAAAAGAACACTACAGACAACACAGAGTTACAAAGTGGTAGGAAATTAACAATGTTTGTTGTATTGGATTGTATGTTTCTTATACATATTGATATCTTCAAAGTGGTTTCTCATGAAAACAGATAGAGACATGCAATATTGATCAATCAGGGACTCACTGACAGTTTCTTTCAGCAAAGAAATAGAAGACAATTGAACAACTATGTTAACTATCCTGTATATACATACATACAAAATTTCTCCTTCTTTCCCTTTTCTTTTCCCACATCCCAGTGCC